GTTATTTTTTAGTTAGTTTGAATGAATAAAATTTAGAATATTAAATTAGTATTGTTACTTATTGTAAATTTGTAAATTAACATGATGAAATAATAACGATTTAATTAAAAATTAATTTCAGAAATATTAAAAACAAAAATAAAATTTGATGTTCATTTTAATAAAGGTGTAAATCTTTAATTGTATGTATACATTTAAAAAAAAAGTTAGGTATCTATGTAATTTTATTAAAAACTAAAACTCAACATATTAAATACAAATGTGATATTTAGTGGATGATAACAAACACATCGTAATTGATTAATAATGACAGTTATATAAAATAATTAATTAATATAAGCTTCAAAAAAAAAAATACTAAACTAGGTATTTCACTATCTAAAATATATTATAATTTATATTATGTAAGAATATAGTTTATTATTTCATACTTTAGTTGTACAAAATTCACTATAGACAATCCTTCAGAAATGTCTAACATCTTAACCAATTTTAACATAAAAAACTTAATCCACAACAATTTAAAAAAAATCTGTGGAAAACTGAGAATAAAAGAATGGAAACATATCACAAAAAAATAAATTAAAAGGTGTAAGTCTTCCACCTCACATTGCATCACGATTTGTCTCTACACAGTACTTATTCGAATTCTCATCAATCGATCACACTTATTGAATACACAAGCACCTCGTGACTGGACAAGACTAGCTCCTCTACAGTGACTCCTGTCACATTTGAACATATTAGCACCGAACGTTACAAATTTCAAGGAATCAGATATGTCAATATGTATTACACACAACTACTGTGAACTTCTAGCACTAAATCCAAAAATCACAACTACTCATAAAATGTCTTAATTTATCTGAACTTCTGAATTCTATTATAATACTTCAGCTCATTAAACTATATATTTTATCAATTACTCTTTATTTTATATTCTCTACTTTAAGCTACCATTTTAAAGCATAGATATAGCTAAAAATCCTGTTTTTGGTGCCTGTTTTATATACCTATATTTATAAAAAAAAGTATTTTTTCAATAAATGAACAAAAAAATATTTAAAAAAATTACAAGTTAGTTGAAACGCCTTAAAAATAATAAAATAGGCAAATTAAATTACACGTATTATATCATTGTCGATTATAATAATAATAATTATTATTATTTCACTGAGCCTATTCATTATTATAACAAAGGTAGCTGGTAGGTACTAACTAAATGTATTTGAAATCTAAAATTTAAAAAAATTACACATTAAAATGATTAATTTGTTCATGATTTTTAGTATGATATTTTATTAATATATTATATTTAAAATAATTATTCCATACATTTCGTGGTACAATTTCAGAAGTTTCTCATCGCTGTATTTTATATTGTGTATTTAAGGTACTAACACAGAATAAGACAATTTAGTACTAAGAGGAATATTGAATATTAGTCTGTAAAATATGAATTATAAATAGCGATATAGCATATAGTATATTGGTATAATACAGTGCACATTAAGTATAGTTGAATTCATATTATCTATATACAAATATACAATATAAATTCAACTTTATAAAAGAGCACGGGCATTTTTATCCAACACTGTTGTAGTGTTCACTGTATTTGTAATAGTTATTAAACTTCCCAGTAATTTCTGGCATAATTATAAAAATACAGTGAAGAATCGTAAAATAAAAATGTTGACAAAATATGTTCTTATTCCAGTAACCTTTATAAAAAACTATTAAAAACTGGGGAACTATCTATGCTGTATAAATTATAATAAATCTCGAGTGTATAGTGTATAATTGTTATTGAGTATAGGTCATCCATTACAGTTGTGTTAAATTTGATTTCAATGATAATTTATTGTACTGAAAAACGATTCTGAGCCTTGACAGACCTAAGTTAAAAAGAGCGCAATCGCGTTACACACATAAATATTAGTACTACGCTACTAGTAATTATATTAGTACTACTAATAGAAAATACAAGATATCATTAGAAATGAGTATAACATGATTGTGTACTTTTTACATTTTTTCTTTGAGCAAATACAAATATTTAAAAAAATATCACTTCAAAAAATTTACCAACATTTACATTTTTTCGAATATCCAAAAAATTACTTACCCCCAGTCCGAGCCCACGTTGTAGGTACTATATACATATACAATGGTCATCAGTAGGGCCCGGATTTAAATGCACTTAAAACTATACAGATATGCTCTAAAAAATAGCCAAAAATGCCCTTAAAAAATGCATTTTACCACAAAAATGACCTTAAAAATGCCATATATTTTTTTTATATACAAATTGTAATTTATAAATGAGACATAATAATTATTTTATTAAAAAAAAACTGAAAATTTTAAATATTGACTGATATGATGTCGACATGCATGTTTTGGCCGTTTTAGAGGAAATATTCATTCTAAACATCTACAGTCAATAATAGATTAAGATAAGATAAAAACTAAATCGAAAAAAAAAATGACAATTTGTATGGAAAAACCCGATAAACCTTCTTAAATATCAAGAAAATAATTTATCTTTAGATATTTTTTTGAATATTCCAAGTTTTATATCTATTTTGAACAAATATGCATTAAAAACCAACAAAATGACCCAATAATGCTAAAAATGCTCTAAAAATGAAAAAACGTCGAAATATGCAAAAAAATGCAAAATAAAATTTGTAGCTTTCAAACCCTCGTTACATGGAACGAATTATGTACTTAGAAAGCATTGTATATGATCAACCAAAAAAATATGCACTTTGCATTGAAATCCGGGCCCTAGTCATCAGTATTTATCTTCCGATATTATCAGAGCTAATGGGAAAATAATGTCTGTTGATAAGTAAAATCAAGTCTTGTAAGAATGTAAGATATAATGTTGACGTTATTAACTTATAATTATTATTAATTTGATACCTACTGACATACATAATACTATATGATACGCCATATATGAATAGGTAGTACGTTAGTAAGTAAAAGATCGGTCAGTTTACTTTGATTCAAAATGTATGGCAGTACGGCCAGTACGAGTTCATTTTAATATTAATTGTATATTTACATGTAGGTATTAAAAATAATTTAATAATTTAATCATGGATATTTGATTGACGAACCTCATAACTGTTTAAATTAAATGGTTAATTTTAATTTTGTGTTTTTGATCGTTAAGTCGGTATTATATTTATTTAAATTATTATTTTCATAAACAAGTTAATCGATAAATGATATATCACGTTAGATATCTATATAAACTTATAAACAAAGATGAATTAAAATTTACTTATGAGTTCTTATATTTTTTTTCTTTATCGGTGTGTTTAACATAGTATAGCTTATATAATTGAATAAACTAATTTTTTAAATATATTACAGCGCTTAGGTCACTACGTTTTACTATAAAATGTATCTAAATATCCACTGAATAACCCAAAAAAAAAAAAAAATGAAAGATTAATTTTATAAAATAATTTATAAATACGCGCTTGTAAGTTGTAGAAATACGTATAATATTTTTTAGAAAGAAATGTTAAAGTTTAACTATATGTATACTCACTTAATATAGTACGTAGGTACTAATGTATAAACGCACTCACCACTGACTAACGAATAACGACTAAAATTTTGTATTAACGTCAAATATCAATAATCTCTTCATATTACATGATATCAGCGGTATCGCTAATATTGAGATAAATACAATAAATAATTGGAATAAAAACCAGTATATCGGGAACATGGTTTAATTTAACTTATTCTTTAATTTACTATAGGTAGTGGATCTAACACGAGACAGGACGACCTTGGATTTTTAGGTAGTATCTTTATTTTTTTCTGGTTTGTTAAGTATGGGTATTTTTATTTCATATTTATCATTCAACAATTTTATATTACTTAATATGTGACCTCATTAATTCATACTTACCTAACTACACTGTTTTAATTTATTATTATTATTCAATATCTACATTTATACAACCTGGACTACTGTTTCAAAATGATAAAAATAAAAATTCAACTCTATATATAAATACCTAATGGCTAGTAGAATGATAAAATTTAACTTTCAGTTTTATATGTTAGTCATCAGACATTCCAAAATTTTGTAGTTATAAAAATTCAGAATTAAGTATATTTGAACAAAAAAATTATTTATTTTTGTTTTAGAATCGTTTAAGGATTTACATAAAAAATTTTGGTTGGAAAAAAGTGTTATTGCTTGGGGGACACTCAAAGACATTAATTTAAATTGTAAATTACCTAGGTGGCTAGCCTAGGTAGGTTCCTATATTATCGATAACCATAAGCATAAGCAATATAATATTATAATGTATGATCATCTAATTATCATCTATCTAAGTATACTTATTTAACATGAATTTCTATCAATAAATCCAAGCTATCAAAGTATTCAAAGTAGATATCTAGTATCAACCATTAGCAATCTAAACGTCGACTGTCGTCTATAATTATTATTTCAATATTAGATTATAGTTCAATACATATTATAATTAATTAATTCTACATTACCTATGTCATATTTTAAAGTGTAATTTTTCTACTTGAGCTGGTTTAAAGTAAATAAAACTTGAACTTAATTTTTATTATACCTTAAAGTATAATCTATACCCTGTGGTCATAGTCTGTGAGTATCACACTACCTATGGTAAATATAATAACATACTAATTAGTAATTACTAACTACTAACTACAACGTCTTACTGTCTACTGTGGTTGTTCGCTGATACTATTTATATTTTATACCACAGACCACGTACCAAGATAATATAATATAATAATTTATTTAGTCATGGATCTATTTTCTATGGCCTATGGTTAATGATTTAAGCGCTATTTTGTTCATACGATTTATTAAATCAAATATTATATCAGACCGATAGTTCTCAAGTTGGCCATATTGTTAGTTATCAGAATGTTATCTTATGAAATGTGCACAACAAATGATAATATTTCTTTTTCAATGTTCTATTACCTATACGTCTTCTATCAATTATCAACACTTGAATTTGAAAATATCCATCCACGAATTAAGATATAAATTGTGGTTGAGTGGTTCTGGTTCACAGTATTGTAATAATGAAAGTACTTTTTACTCCTTAAAATTGTAATTACATTTTTAATTGTAGTGTTTAGAAACTGCCATCATTGATTATATTTGTTTTCTTTATCTATGTTGATGATTTTTTTCGTACTAAATGACTGACATTTTTAAAGGTAAGAAATGGGCGTTATTTTTGTACGTTCGACTTATTCATATTTTTACATATTTGATTTATTAGGTAATTAGTTTGTAATCCATTTATATCTACTTAAACATTGTTTTTAAGCAAATATTATAAGAGAGCTAAAATAATTTACATAGTTTTATATGTAGGTACCTGCTGTACCTAATATTTTTAATAGTGTATTCTGTTAACAATGCTAATTAATAAAATAAATTTATATTTACTTCTAACTTTTTATAAAAATTATTTATTTAAAAGTACATTTTGTTGACCATTTCCCTGAATATAAACTATCAATCTTGAGTATTTTCTAAAAATTTCAGAGTACCCTGCTATAGTCATTCAGATTTGGCCTAGTTAGTTTTATTAAAAACTTTGTAAATTAATACAATAAAAACCAGCAACTTCAAAAATAATAAAATATAATTGTAAAGCTAGATTTAAACAACAAAATAGTAGTTTTTTAATTTATACATTGTAACCAAACGTGTACAAACTGTATGAAATGTACAAAAATATGTAGTTATTTTAAATTTTGTATTACCTCCGATTCAAGTCTGTGGCACACTGGTTGAAAAATCACTGTTGCAGAGACTAAAATCATAGTGTATTTATTAAAGTTATAACTTATAATTTATACATTTGACCAAATATTCTATGCAATCCTTAGTTAACCAAGTACCTATAAACAGTATAAACTACTTCATAAGTTTTTTAAAAACAAATTTGATGTGCTTGTTTCCTGTTAAATTTTGAATTGCATCACATTCAGAGTTTGTTTGGCAACCCTTTTGCATTGCCCTCAAAACTGTCATAATAAAGAAAAAATAACTATACTCGTTGTTTTAAAATATTTTTTATTTTTAGATTTGAGTGATATTTGGGATAGGCTGTTCAGTCACCGTCCATTTTTACAAGGAGAAATTAAGTATTTTTTATCAGAATTTGATGTAAGGCTGATAAATTTGTAGATCATACATTGATGAATAATAAATCATTTTTAAATAAACTAATTCCAGAAAAAATCATATAGAGCTGATGAAGAAAATTTAAAAAAAATTGGTGAACTTGTTAATGATTTAAAAGAAAATAAAATTGAAAGATTTTTGCAATCAAGTGGTGAAAATTTATTTTTATTGAATTCCGCCATTAATGAAGCTTTGAATTTGAGTCAAGCAATTTTGGATCAAGAAAATAACATAATTTCAGTAAGTTTGCTTGATAATAATTGTACTCAAATAACTGTTATGTAAGTATTAAAAATAATTAATATGTTTGGTTTGAATATTTTTAGGAAGAAGATTTGAAAATTAAAGAAGAATTTCACGAAAGACGTCAGAAAGAATTGGAAACATTTAAGTCTGATCTGAAAACTAGATATGAAAGTATAGATAAAGATATTGAAGATAAAGTAGAAGCAATCAAAATACATTTTGAAGAAGACATAAATAAACTTATTGCCGACAACCAGTAAAAAATTATGGATTATAAAATAAAAATAAAAACTGACCCCCAGTTTTTGGATTTGTTTAAGAAAATTGAAAAGTCCAAAGTTGATATTCCCACTCATGTTAGTGAATGTTTTTCTGTTAAAATGTTAGACCTAGAAGCTTTCAAGTGGTTTAGTGAAAATTTGAAAAAAATCGATGGTCCCCCCTTACACACATTAATCACTGAAGAAAGTATAGTTTTACCTAGTCCACCAATTGTTGAGTCGAGTCCAGAGTACAAAGAAAAAATGAGAAAATTGGAGCAACGTCTAAAGAATAAAGAATATGATGCTATGACAAAAAATGTAGATTTTCGAAGGGTTAGACTACCTGAAGATACAATTTCTTATCAAAGTGAGACTATATTTAATATTGTAAAATTTAGATTTACCCTTTTGTGTTCCTTCTGAAAATAATTTAACTTGCATACCTCAAATATCTGTAAAAAACTTAATTTTCACCCAGTAGGTCACATGTTATAAGAATAGCCAAATATTTAATTAACTATCACTTACAAAAAAATCTGCTAGTAAATACATTGGAGTCCAGATGATAAAAAAAACTTGATCCATGGGGATAAAATTCTGTTTGTATGATGCTTATTATGTAGGCAATGTGTACAATTATACAATACTAGCTGATCCCATGCACTTCGTTGCCCATTAAAGAATTTATAATACCAACTCTATATGAATAATATGTTTTATTTTATAATATAGTGTCTTTGTGGGTGTCTAAACTTTGATGGATTCAATTATCAAGCATTGCCGAATCAGCCATGCTGATCAATTGGTATTTCCAATTTTTATTATATTCAATGACACGACAATATTTTATGTTTTTAATTATAAAAAAATTTAATTTAATTATTAGTTAGTAAGTGAGATATTATATCAACAGCTCAGTTTCTTCCACAGTCCGCTAGTTTTTGACTTTTGACTTTTAATATTGTAAGAAAGTTATCTAACACTTTAAACAATTTTAAGCAACATTCTTTGAGTATAGTTAGTAGCTTATCAATTATTTATATAATTTTAGATTAGTCAAAATAATCATTCTACAGAATATCAACTAAAAAAGTTTCCTTAATTGTACCATTATGTTAAAAAAATAAATGGGTTGGGAGCATAAAAGGGAACGATCAACATGTATTGTGCAGCCTGTATTTTTGAATCACTGAACTAAAGCACTAATATATAATGAAAAATATATCAATTGTATGTTTCAGTTAAACAAATCAATAGGCAGTTGATAGCAGTTCTCCAATTTGTGATTTCAACAGCTGCTGGATTTTTATTTGGATATTTGGGTATCGAGTTGATGCTAAGTACAACCTTTGATTTGGGCTTTAAGTTATTGTTGGGAATCATATGTGCCCTAATTATAGCATTAGCTGAAATTTACTTTTTAGCCAAAAAATTATCTGAGGACTTCGAGCCATTTGATACAACTGGCGGAAAAGTTCATCAAGATTAATTGTTGTAGTTCATTTATCTATTTCTTATTTGCCTCAAATTATTAAAATTCTAAAAAGTATGTTTAAAACTATTGAGTAAAAAGTGTTTATATTTTTATCTATTAATTTATGTATGCAAAATTGGTAATACATTATTTTATAAAAACATTTTTGGTTTTAATTGTTAAATTATTTAAATACGTTTTTATGGATGTAGACAAGTAGTATTGTAATATAGTTGTGAACTTTGCAGATTTGATCAATGAAAGTTTTACATATTGAATATAATAACTATAAATGTTATGACTTTTGTATTAAAATGGTGCAAAATTTGATATTGATGGACTGATTTCAATTAATATTATATTATACATTAATACTTATTTCACGATTTTATTATCTTGTTTTCAAATTTTTATTATAAACAGTGGTGTTTTACTGCTTTTTGTTTATTATAGCAAATTACATGTAGTTTATGTATGTATATGAGTAAGTATGTGATGCATTTATGGGATTGAAAGATTATATAATATGTTTAATATTTTGATGAATGAAAAAAAAATTGGAAAGTTGAAAGTTGCCACAAGATCAGTGGTTTGTTTCCAAACTGTGTTGTGGGAGTTCCTTGAGAGGCATTACTACTTTATAGATGAGACATGATGTAAATATATTATATGCACTTATAATACTATTTTTAGATCATATTTGCTACCGACAGTAAGTGCATTGTCCTCATTAATTATTTTATATTGTTTTTACCAGTTTTTCCTTAATATTTTGTTCTGTTATTCTCAACTTTTTTTAAATTACCGAGAATTTTTATTTTTGATCACTTAAATTACCAACTAGATTTACATTCATACCAAAAAAACACATTTCATTACAAAAATCAATATATTCATAGCTCCTTTCAGAATCTAAAATATTAAAATGAATTGTATATAAATGTTGACTGTTTAAAATGAAATATAAATTAACTCATGTGTTTAGACTACTTAGTGCCGCCAAAATCGTGATACTTCAACACTGACACTATTGTAGTCACTCACTCACTCAGTTAACTATTATAAAATAATTTGTAATTCGAGTAGGTACATCGGCCCAGAGCTCTAATGTTTAAGAATTGTAAATTCGCAGTTGGGTTTTTAAAATAGCACTTATTGTGTATATGTCACTAAATGAGTTTATAACATGCTAATAATACTTACCTATACATAGGTAAGTACATCTAAAAGAAATTAATATATTACCAACAATATAATATATACATTAAATATATTAAATGAATGTAAAATACAATTTAGATATGTAAATTCATCACATTTTGTCTTTTATTATAGCACTGGAAAATAAAATGCTATTTAATATTTAAAAATAAAAAACTGAAAGTGATTGGCAAATGTTGTTTTGTACAATTGAAGTCATTGGAGCGAACATACTACATAATCAAAATAGAAATATTAGTAAAAAAAATTATATTTAATTATGTTTTAATTTTATTAATTTTTTTTTCAAATGAATTCGACTTACTGTATTACTAAAAGTAAAATAAAATACTTTAATAGCAATTATATTTTAAAATATACTTAGTTACACAGGCTAATATACCGTCTTCGTTAAGAAACATTTTCGCATATAATGATATATAAATACATTATTTAATTTAACACATCCAAGATCCATTACAGTGACCCACACGATACCTAATGTACAGCAGAACAAATAATCACTTGCCCACATTTGTAATTTTAAAATCAATAAACATTTTATGAACTTTAACAATTTGATGAGTGTTTTTAAAGTATTTAGACCATTAACATAATAACATATTAACATATAAACATTTTTAGTAATTTTTTGCTTTTATGTTATAAATAATACTTTGTCTTTTAATGTTCCTTGGGAATTTTTAATGTTTATATCATTTTAATTACTTAGGATTTTTATTAGTACTCCAATTTCACCAATAAGAGGTTTTTCTCAGTGGTGAGTTTAGCCATTATACTGGATATTTTTGTTGCTGTATTAAATGTAACTACATATGGCTAATAAATTATTATTATTATTAAATACATTTTTTTAGGGCAAAATTATCTAGGCCCTACTAATAAGTATTACTGTAATAGTTTAAACTGTTTAAAGTACTCAAAAACATTGTTTATTCTTTTAAACTGTTTTTACACTATCAAGTATCAGTGATAGGTACATGGTAATTTTTTTTTCATACTGATTATTTAGTGTTAAAATTATATATCTTTTTTTGCAAATGTTCACATATGATTTGTCTATCATTTGATAACATATTCCACCCAATATCTCAATTTGTGATATTTTGTGACTTACATCGTTTCTCAAATAGGTGGTTCAAATGTAGTACTGTTTAAACAATATCTGAATTTCATAGACCATTATATTTGTGGTATTCTCAAGATTGTTCAATGAAGGGAGGTAATAAGTAAAATTGTTAAGTTTACTATGTAGGCCCCTCAACCCACCCATTTAAACACAATAACAAACGAACACCAATTACCAATAGGTAAACATATTAAATCTCAGCCATCACATTTCATACCTATTTGTGAATTTGGCCATGCATTTTGTTTAAGCTTATCTCAGAATTATACAACGCATATGAAAATAATTGTTTTTAATTGTCTACACACTATTTAGATGAATCAAATTAAAATAATTGAAATGAAGATACATTATTTATAAACATACAATTTCATATTTTATTTATGAATCATTAAACTAATAGAATAATGAAAACTAATCAGTTTATCAACAACTTTTTAAACAACACAATATTATCTTTTTTTAAGTTTATTGGATTAACAATTCTGTTTTCATCTTTCCACGTTGGTGTCATTTGATTCCAATCTCTATTACTTATGTTTAACTTCTTTAATAACTGATCAGCTAGTACAGGAACAACTGGCTGTAAAGCTAACCCAGAAATTCTCAAAGTCTCCATAGTTATGTGAAGTACACATTCCAATTTACCAACATCTTGTTTAGCTAATTCCCACGGTTTGTTATACTCAAAAAATCGATTGCAACTTTGTAAAGTGGCTATTATTTCATCTATACCTTTGTAAAAATTTAATTCTTCATAATGACTTCCAACTATGTCTGCAAGACTCTCTAGTTTGTTTTGTAATTCAATGAAATATGAATCAGCCCGTAGCCTTTCAATCTGTAATAAATCTAATTTTGGGTAACTGAGATTTGGGTTAATGGCTTTTCCACAGCAACGGTTCAATAGGTTACCCAATGTGTCTGCTAATTCAGCATTTAAGATTCTTCTAATTTTCAGATCACTGTAGTTACCATCACTGTGAGCTGTACCTTCTCTAAGCAAAAAATATCTTAAACCAGATTCAGTATACTGGCAACCAGCAGTTATTGGATCTACTACATTTCCTTTGGTTTTTGACATCTTTTCATCATTAACTTTCCAATGAGAATGCACAAAAATTTGTTTTGGCAGTTTTAAACCAGCAGCTATTAAGAATATAGGCCATAATATTCCATGGAATTTCAAAATATCTTTGCCACATATTTGGACATTAGGAGGCCACATTTTGCTGTCTGGATAACCAGAAACAGTTAAATAATTAACAAGAGCATCTAGCCATACATATACAGTCTGTGTATCATCTTTCGGTACTGGAATACCCCAACTGACACGATTTTTTGGTCTTGACAATGATATATCGTATAAATCATTTACCTCTCTATTCAGGATTTCATGGAATACTTTTGGTTTAATTCTATCTGGTTTACTCAACCAATTTTGAAGATCATGTTTAAAAGGACGTAAGTCAAATTTATAGTTGTCTTCTTCTGCCCACTCAACTGGTCTTCCTGATTCTTTACTAACACGTACATTATTAACTAATTCTATTTGATCTTCTGATAAAAAAGTTTCATCAGCTGTACAATACCATCCGGAATACTTTCCTTTTCTTATATGTGGTTGTAATTTATTCCAAAAATAATGTACACATTTTTTGTGGTTTTCGGTTGTTGTTCGTATGAAAGATGTATGACCAATATCAAATTTATCAAATGTAGTTTGATAGCTACTTGAAATTTTTGTACAATAGTTTTCAACAGATATTTTACAATTCTCTGCTGCTTTTTGTACCTTCAATCCGTGTTCATCAGTGCCAGTACTGAAAATAATATTTAAACTTGGGTTAAGTAATTTTTGAAATCTTGCAGAAGCATCAGCAATTAAAGCACTGTAAAGATGCCCAATGTGTGGACCTAAAATAAAGAGTACATTTATATATTAATATATATATATATATATATTCTTTTTTTAAATGCATAGAAATAAATAATAGTTGCTATTCTGTACAATGGTGGAGCTATAGCAGTCCTATTGAAAAATATTATTCATTTTAAAAAATTCTGTTGAATACATTTTTTTCAGTACTATTAGGTATATTAAAATATTTTTTTATTTCTCGAGTCTGAGCGTTTTGTTTTTAAAGTGTTATGAAATTGTAAGAATATGCATTTTGACGATATTTATAGTAATATACTCATGTTTTATAATTATAAATAAACTAAATGTTAATGAAAATATCTTACTGCTGAGAAACCAATACTAACCACTGGTGATATAAAAGTAGACATTTTTATTTTTCAACAATGTGTCATGCTTATGCTGAATGAAAAAGGACAAAAGGAAAAATTGTTTGTTTATTATCATGTTTAGTACTTTTTTTTTACCTTGCTTTTTGAAGAAAATGTTTATAGTTATACAGTCTAAAAAAATGTTGTGGTTTGATGTTTTGCGGTCTCAAATTTTTGAAGAAACATTGTTGGAGAGTAAAAGTGTAAGGGCTAAGCCCATAGCAAAGCCTGTATGAAGTTTAGACTTTAATGACAACATTAAAAATGATATTTGGGGGACGAGGTGACCGAGTGGTCTGACTCTTCCGCTGCGACTCAGCCGGTCGCGGTTCGATCCTCGGCTACCGGGCGGCATTTTTCTCCGGACAAGTCGCGGTGACCGGAGAGCAAGTGCTGCCATCCCCCACCCCCGGGGCATGGCAGAAACCTACGGGTGCCCCATTCGAAATTCTGCCAAAACAAACACACACGTGTTCCCCCCTACCGTACCAAAAACATACAAACCATCAATACAAAAACCTACAGTACCTACTAATAGCTAATGGCCACAGTTGCCGGGCTCAGGATCAATTAAAAAAAAAAAAAAAAAAAATGATATTTAATGAGTTTAAAAATTTAAATCATAAACAAATGATAATCTTATGAAATCATAGGTATGTGACATAAGTAAATATGTGTGTTTAGTATTCAATTCAATGTATTAAAACAGGTAATCAGATAAAGTTTCATCTTTGACTATTTTTAGTAGTATAACACTTATGCCAATCTCTTATTATCTCTTAATTATCCGACAAGCCGAAAACCTACCATAAATTTCAATTAAATAATAATAAAATTCATTAATACAATAAACAAAATATGTAGTATTATTATTAATCATATATGACATATAAATTCTTACTTGCATTTACGTAAAATATTGGTGTTGTAATAAAGTAGGAAGTCTTTTTAGTTACATCTTTGAAACTTGTGCTTATTCGTGACATAATAATAATCTTCGTAATAGTATCTGAGTATAGTAATTCTATATTCTGTGTATAACCTCTTAATATTTAATACATACTACTTAATTTAAACCATTATAATGTAATATTGTACTTAATCATAATACAATAATATGCTAACGTTCTTACTAACAACAAAAAAACAAAATTAGAATCAGGATCGACAGAAGCACTTAAACTTTCAAGTCTTCAATAGTTCAATTTCCCAAATCCCAATTCCAAATTTCCAAAATCCTAATTCTCCAACAATATTAACACTATAATCAGAGTTCTATCCACGATTTAAGATAGTACAATGGGTTTATCAAAGACCTATAAACTAGTGCCGGCTATTATCACTTTTTAACATATTATCACAGAATATTCTGTGATAATATTAAATGTTACAGAAGTGATAACAAATTACTATCATAGCGCCTTCGCTAGATAGTAGATACTATCTAAACCCGTGGCGACTGGTGAGGATCAAACGTGAAACGAAAGACTTACGAAGTCTAGCAGTTAGCACGTTTATGATAAAGTAATATTATTTAAAGTGAGGTAAGAACTTATTAATAGTTCTAATATTCAAAACAAATCAGTTTAGTTTTGATGGTTATAGCTAGAAAATGGACTACAAAGACGAACAACAAAACGAAATCGATGCATTGGACTCTATATACTGTGGTGAAATGATAAGTAAGCATATTAGGGTAATGAAAACTAGAATTTATAAATTCGGTAATATTTTATAAATTCATATAATTCCTATATTTTTGTTTAAGTTTCGGGTTCAGATCCTTATTATCAATTTGAAATCCCAGTTAAATCAGATGAGTTCGATAGTGTTCAACATGATATTGGCCTGTCATGTTGTTTAAAATTTGAGTATGTTGAAAAATATCCTGATGATCCACCCATTGTAGAAATTGAGGATGTTGTCGGTTTTGAAGAGCAAGAAAACGAGCTTAAAGAGTATTTAATACAACAAGTAATATATACTGTATAATAACATAAATCAAATGTTAATTTATAAATTATATTTAAGGCTCAGGATAATGTTGGGATGGTGATGATATTTACTTTAGTATCGGCAGCACAAGAATGGATGAATAACTATTCAGATAGTGAAAAACAAAGAAAAATAGATGATGATGATAAAAGGCGTGAAAAAGAAATGGAAGCCGAATTAGTTAGTATTTATTATATTATTTAATATTTTGTAACAGTATACTTTATAATTAGTTCAATCAACTTGAAAATGACAAGTGTTAAATGCATTATTTTTCTTTAGAAACGTTTTGAAGGCACCAAAGTTACAGTTGAATCATTTTTACGGTGGAAGTTCAACTTTGAAGAAGATATGGGAGTTTTAAAAAAAAGAAATGAAGAGGAAAAAAATAAGAAACTTACTGGACGTGAATTATTCATGACTGATAAATCACTTAATGAATCAGACTTAAAATTCTTAGAAGAAGGTTGGTTGAACTTTAAAAATAAATTAAAACTTCAAAATAAACAAATTATTTTGGTCGGACTTACGGTAAACACTAAAAATATTTTTGTACTATCAATAAAATAATTTTAAATATTGTGTTAAATTATTGAAAAAGTTAAAAAAAATATTATGTTCCATATTATATTATTCCCAACTGTACTAAGATAAAATTAAGTTTATTAAAATTGTAGGAATACTGGGAATAAACGAAACAATATATTTGTGTAACCACTATGGGTAAATTATATGAGATTAGCATAAACAAGAATAAATTACTATCAAATCAGTTTTTAACACTTATTGTTACCATATTATGTACTATTCAATTTTAAAGCCGGTCAAAAATAACCTAATGTTCATGTATTGATGTCTTGCATATTACCTAAAATTGAAATGACCTATACTTTTTTTTTTTTTAGGAGATTCGGTGAAAGTTGATGAATCATTATTCGAAGAAATAGATGATCTGGAAATTGGTGATGCTGGAAGTTCTGATGAAAGTTAAATATTATTTAGGAATTTATGTGCAAAACTAAAAAATTGTAAATATAAAATACTTTAAAAACAAAATATTTTAAAGTGTTTCAAGGTATATACTATATATTATTATAATATTTAATACTGTCAAATTAATTCAATATTTGCATCTTTGAAGTTCTAAATTAAAATATATATTAATTGTTTTATGAATGTATTCGCTTGAATCATATATCAATTAATTAATAAATAATATTTTATTTTTCTAATATAAAATAAATAAAATAACTTGTGAGTCCAGAAGCAATAACCTACTTAACTCTTGTTCTAAAAGCTGGTTTTGTTTTCCCAAATGTTTTCTGCGTAGGTATTAATGACATATTGTAAATTGTTATATTCAACACCAAAATATTATAGGTATAAATATAATTATTATAAAGTTAAACACAGTACGCTGCTTGGTATGCAAAACATACTAATTACGTGTAATGTGTAAACATGAATATGTTACAAATAAAACTATGAAATCAAATTATATGCAACGAATACAAATAAAAAGAACAGATCACATGAAATTGTTATGAATAAATGTTATTAAAAAAGCTGATAAGTGAATATTACTCTGCTGTACGCCTGGACAGTTGTAGCTTACAAGTGGGTCATTGTAATGGATGGTGTTAAATTTGAATTCAATGATATAAAAATCATTGTATACGAAAAAACGATTTTGAGGGAAGACAGTCTGTAAACCAATAATATTACTTAGTAATTTAATATATTTTATGATATTATTATGATTAATATAAATTATTTTACTATTAAGCATTAGTACTACAGAATAATAATAATTTTGTCAAACATAAAATACATTTTAAAAGTCATTGTGTATAAAATATAATAATATACCTACAGACTAAATATGTCAAGTACCCCCTCCCCCCCCTAGAATATATTTAAATTGCAGCTATATAACTTTGACCATTATTGGTTATTTTTATTTAGTATATCATTTTGTCCACATTTGAACAAAAAAACTGTATTTTAATATTTTGCAATAGATATTGAAACAATACAACAGTTCCAATAACTTGTATTAAATTGTCATGCTTTTTGGCCCAACCAATACAAATTTTATTGACATTTATACACTAACTGAAAATTGACATTGTCCGTCAAGAGCTTAAAACGAGTCAAAATTTTACCAAGTTTATGAATTGATGAAATAAATATAAAGTGTAAATTGCAAGTGTCTACAGTTATTCGTTTTTTAATTACAAGAAAATAAGAAAATCGCTACAAAAGAAATCGAGTGAATAATGTAAAAATTTGAACTTCAAACGCTCATGAAAATTTTATTTCACTTTTCGGTAGAATTTTGGTTTTTGATAAAGGTAGACAAAATTATAAGGAATCTTGTATTACATTTTTAAATATTAGATATAAAAAAAAAGTTGTTATGAATTTCTACCTCAAAATAATTTTCTTGATTTTACGAATTTTGTCGACATTTTAAGTTCAAACGCTCATAAAAAATTATTGTGGATTTAGGAACTCTCATTTTTTTTTAAATTTCCACTAACAACAACTTATGGGCTATGGCAAACCATGTATTACATTTACAAGTTTTTCGACTGAATGAAAAATGTTTTATCGACATTAGTTTAAAAAAACAAATATTAATCAAAATTGCATATGCCTATAAATAGTTCAACACGAATCAAAATATATTGAAAATTGTATGGTGTATAGAAAATGCTAACACAAACATTCAGTGAAAATTGCATGTGTCTGCAGTAATTTTAGGGTTGTGCTAAAAACCAAAATCGATTTTTACGAAAACTGGTTTTGCGTAAAAATTCTCGTTTTTCCTGCCGCTTTTGAAAACTATTGGGAATTTTGACCTCCCGAATGAACCAACTATAGATTCACTCTTCTACCAGAAAAGTTGCTGTCGAAGAAAATCGAAGCACTTTTACTGCACTAAATAGTGATAACAGACCAAAAACAAAAAAATAAACGCACATCATAGTAAAATCAATAGGTACCTACCTACATTCATCGCTCCGATCAGAATATAAAAAGGCACCTGAGTAATAGGTAGTGGAATTGCAGGTACCTACTGTTGTAGTAGCGCATTAGTAAGTGATGGTTTATGATTCTTATACTTGATCATAATTCATAGAATAGATATATTATATTTAATCTATTTTGTGGTTATGTACCTAACTATATATGTATCAATATATTATATATATGTATCGCTGATACACATATAGCATACACTATGTATTTGATAAAAATATAAAAATTGCATGTACCTATGACATAGATTCCTACCTAGATAGGTAATAATGATGCTAGATCTATTACTTAAATATATTTGTGTACATATATATATATTTAATTTATATTAAATTAAGCGTAATGTAGGTACCTATATAAATATAATTGTATTAGCATCCTCAATAATATACTCGTATAATAATTATAGTTATCTCTACAGGGAACCTGCGTTGGTTAGACACAATAGTGTGCTGTTAGTTTTGATATTAGAGTCAATTGACCTATTACACGATTTAAATGTAAGATTATTATCTAGGGCCCCGTATATGCTTTTATTGATATTATTATTTTTCAGTAATTTATGACTTTTTTGTAACTATACATTTAAAAAATTAAAATAACCTTTTTTTTTTATTATGGTATCGAGGACTGGAGGAGGAACTATGGTACTAGTACTTCTCCTCCAGCCACCATCGTTTATTGTCAAAACAAAAACACACGACAATTAACAGCGGCGGGCCAATCCCCCACTCTCTGCTATTACAAGCAAAATTGGACTATTTATATTAACAAACGGTGGAGCTCTGCTCTCCCTAATTTCCTTCGGCTACAAATCAATTTTCAGCTAACAGTTCAGTATGGTGAATTCCGTCGGTTCACAGCCTGTCGCACTCGTTCTTCTTCCTCGACTGAAAGGATGTTTTCCACCATGCCGTAGAATAGTCTAAACCGCTCTTCGGCTTCTTTCAGGATCGCATCCTTCCCGTGAGCGTCCGCCGACAGGAGCTCGAACACCGGTCCGCAAAATATGATGTCCGGAACGTCGTCAGTGCTCGGTCGATGGCCAATCCTGGTGCTCAGGGCTTCACGAAAGCCGTCCCAATGAGAAAATTATAATAACCTACTTAAATAAATAATGCGACGTCCTCTTAAATAAGTCTTAATGGGCTATTATTTTATTTTATTCATAAAATAATGATCATTATATATTTATGTATATCAAATTATGTGTAGTTTCCAAATTTTCAACCAGTTTTGTTATATTATTATTATTAATAATATATATATTCTTACTAAACATAAAAATATAAAATTGATTTTTTTGGTCCATTGTGTACCAGGGTTGAGGTAAAATGAGACAGCAAATTTGTAAAAATTGCAATGCGCTTTAACGGCGCTGCAGGTGCCGTTGGAGAAGACTGTTGTGACGACGGCCACAAAACTCAAAGCGCGGAGTGAGCATGGTGAGCTAAGAGTTAAGACCTTAAGACCACAAATTAAAATATTTTAATTCGTGGTTAAGACTATATTATAATATCCTTATAGAACATATAGTACAAGATCTAATATAATATCTGTGCTACGTAATAATCAGCGGTGGGATGACGCCACTGGACGAAAATCATAGAGAAACGGCGAACCGCACCACTGCCCTGATACTCTCCTCGGTTTTCACCCTTGCGTCCCTTCTGCGTCCTGTGGTCCAACGTGGAGTCGCGCAATGTCGGAATACCATCACTCACCCGCTGTGTGCTCTGCGGTCTCAGACCTCAGTTCAGTGCCGTACCCAGAATTTGTTTTCAGGGGGCGAGACCGTTTTCGACCAAAAACGTACCCTTCCCTTTTCGGCCGATTCACTTTTCGACCAAATTTAAAAAAAACGGCAATTCCCTTTTCGACTAAAATCGTACCCTTCCCTTTTCGGCCGATTCACTTTTCGACCAAATTTAAAAAACATCGATTCCCTTTTCGACATTAATATGTCATAATGCGTATAATATTTTATAAAAAATACAACAACAAAATTATACAATACAAAAAGTTTAATATAGGTGTTATATTTTATGTTATAGGTACATATTGAAAATTATTAAAACCTATATATATATAATTGTTGTCATTAATCATTTGATCGGTGATCGTCGACTGTGATGGTTACTACCATAATATATAGTTATATCAGTATATTATGTAGTATGTACCTGATAGACTGATCATTGTACGTATTGTAGAGAGTCACTATCTTTTATAGCCAAGATAAAATATCAATAACTGATTAAATTCTCTCGTTACTTGTTTAATTTTTGTAAAACCGATGCTCGTGCAATAATACTTTAGTGTCTGTGCGTGTATCATACTCGTTGCATCGGTTTTATAGTTTTCAACGTTCAAAATTATTATATTTTACTTAATATGGCTGAATTTATCGAAAGTAATCGTGGTAAACCGTTATTAGTTTTAGATTGTTATAAATTTAGTATCGGATCAGTGAACAAAAAAACTAATTCAACACGTTGGCGATGTATTCGAAGAGATTGTGATGCTAAAGTGTTTACAGTAAATAAAATTGTCGTACAAGACCATCGTGAAAATTTATCACACAGACATAAGCCATATGATCGGAATACAATATCGAGGCAAATTGTTAGCTCAGCGTGCAAGCGGAAAGCAGTCGACGCACCCTCAGTTAGACCGAAAACAATTATCTTGAAAGAAGTTGGTGAAAATATTGAGTCTTCACAATTTACTACAACGGACATTAAAAGAATAAGGAAAAATGTATACGACGCTCGGCGCAAAGTATTGCCATCGTGTCCCACAAGTTTAGAAGAAGTTCATTCATCGTTGGAAAAAATGGACATAAAAACTAAACAAGGTGAGCCTTTTTTACTAGTGAACGATACAGAGAAAAACATAATTATATTTTCGTGTACCTCGAACATTTTATTCTTAAAAGAAATCGAGACATTATATATGGACGGGACATTTAAATATTCGGCTCGTTTTTTTACACAAATGTTCACTATCCATGGTCTTAAAAACGGAAACTATATTCCATTAATATTTTGTTTACTTCCAAACAAGACTACCGAAACTTACATTCATGCATTTCACTTGATATTACAGAAATGCACTTCTTTAGGTGTAACATTATTGCCTCAGTATGTAACGACAGATTATGAAAAAGCAATAATTAACGCAGTCCATGAAATTTGGCCACAAACTCAAATTATTGGGTGTAGGTTCCACTTAACCCAAGCTTGGTATCGCCAAATCCAAAAAGTAGGACTGGCTACTGAATATCAAGACCGATCTTCAGAAATTGGATTATGGTTGCGCCACACTTTTGGATTGCTTTTTCTAGAACCAAATAATGTTTTAGATTGTTTTCTTCAAAACTTTATGGCTGATCGTCCTATAGATGATAAAGTTATCAAATATGCAGACTATCTCATTGACAACTATTTAACAGACGATTGTGACTATCCTCCAGAAATATGGGCATCAGCAAGTTCTAGTTTACAACGCACGACTAATAACTGTGAATCCTTCCATGCAAATTTCAATCGAAGCTTTTATAAAGAATCTCCATCCATATTTAATTTGCTTGCGGTTTTAATTGATGAGGTACAAACTGAAATTTATATAAAACTTAGAAGTGTTCACTTGCCAAACCGTACTCAAGATCGATCAATCAGAGAGAGAAAATCCAAAAATGAAAAATATATATCAGATTATCAAAACGGACAACTTGACAGGTACCTACAGTATATAATTTATTAAAATAGCTATGCGTTTTTATTTCTTAATAGTAAATATATCACTAAAATATTTTTAGGTATGATTTTGTTAAGTTGGTTTCAAACAATTATTTCAAACAAATGTAATGAAAAGCGCTAACAAAACTCAGACGACGACAGAACACAATTATATTGACCTTATATCATTTTTTTTTATATAATATATCTTATATTTTTAATAATATTTGCCATTATTTTACAACAATTATAGTTATTTTAAGTATAAACTAAACTCTAAAGTATATTATTATAGTAATTATTATTATTAATATTTGCTATTATATAACAACAACTACTCGTATATTAGTTTATGTCTTAATATTATATTATACTTAATAATTATTGACAAAAATTGTATATTATTATGTTATTCTTTTTATGCAACTTATATTTTAAAATTATGATTGCCATAATTTTACAAAAATTATATATCAATTATTTTCTTTATTTTACATATCATATTACAAAACTTTTTGTTTTGGTCGAAAAGAGAATTGGCGTTTTTTTAAAATTTGGTCGAAAAGTGAATCGGCCGAAAAGGGAAGGGTACGTTTTTGGTCGAAAACGGCTATGCCCTTCTTAACTCTACAGGAAAATAGGAAATAATTTTAAAACATATATATATATATTATATATATGTATACAATACTATTTACTATTTATTTTTTTTTTATTAAATTATTTGTTTTGTAAATTGTCACAATTTTAAATCTAAGGGCCTTTCTTTTTTTGATGCAAACATATTTAAAATAGTGTGTGCATCAATTTGTATGTCCCTATGTATATTCATAATTGCTAACCCATTTAATCTTGCCTCACCTGTAGAGTTTCTTAAATAGGTCTTGATTCTTTTTAAAGAAGAAAAACTTCTTTCAACCGATGCCGTTGATACTGCAGGCAAAATAGCAAGAAGTTTTAGTAAAATATTTATGTGTGGGAATAAATCTTCGGGACATTTCGATAACGTGTCTAATGCATATTTTAGTAAATCATTTTTGTTTCCAAAATTCAAATTCATTTTTTAATAAGTCCATGTGAATGTTTTGGTTATTAGATCTTAAATCTTCTTCATAAAAATCAATAGCTGGCTGTATATTACTAAATGATAAATTACCAATTTTGCTTGGTAATAATGAAGATAAAGAAACAAAAATATTAGAGTTCATTTTAAAACTTTCATTAAATGATGCTAGAATATCATCTAATCTAAATATGGATAATATAATGATTCTCAGTTATTAAAAACTTGGTCATTATTGAGTATTGCATAATTTCTCTATGTTTTTGAGTTCCAGTCGCACCCTTCAACATTATTACTATGATGTTAACTCATTACGCATTACAAATAAAAATCTTACCAGAGATTCAGGGGGGGGGGGGGTATTAAGCCCAAAAGCCCACCCCCTGGGTACGGCACTGCCTCTGTGACCTATTCAATGTTCAATATGATCTACGGGATATACTTATTGCTTAATATCTACTATGTACATAGACGAACGCAGTACCGTAACCAGGTTTTTTTGGGGGAGGGGGGGCCGCAATTTGTTATTGCTATAATTAGGGTACAACCGGGCATGGTAAGTGTGATATTTCAAGGGGGGTGGCTTAAGCCCAAAAGCCAGCCAACCCCACTAGCTACGGCACAACGAGTGAGCGACTTCCTAGGTTTTTAAAAATGTTTCCAGATATTTATAGTGGAGGTGGTTTTATTATACACCTATATCAATAATTGTTATAATTTATTATTTTCATAAACAATACAAATGCCATACAAGAACAGTATATTTAAAAGTTTACTAATTAATACATATATTAGTACATATGTTTTATTTTTAATTTTCCAGTTAAACGTCAAAACTTTTGATTAAATGGTCTTGGCAAATTTTCAAGCCTATATAAGTAAACATTTATGGAACGTCTAATTTAAACGAACCTACCGCACATGACTAAATAGATTTATTCGGTCATGCCACCAAGATCGAATTTATTTATAGGTAGACTATATACGAATATGAATACACCCATTCCACCATTATTCTTACGAAATGTATATCATAATATTAATTCATACATGTATAGGTACTATAAAAAGTGTTCAGAAATGAAATATAAAAGTTATGTGTTTTATGATGAAAAATAACTATATGTTTAATCATTTTCGTTGTCTTTATCGCTGAACTTTAATGAACTTATCAAGCAACCGGCGGGTATATTAAATTTTAAGCTATAATCAGCAATCAAATATGAAATAAATTATACTATTTACCTTGCCGGGTGCCATCTATAATATGCCACCTAAACGTCCTAAACTGTATACCATGCAGTATTAATTCAAGTTTCAACACAGAGTTTCTATAATATTATGTTATTAATATTCTAGCACTTATGTTAATATACGTATAATAGCTTAAAATGTTTATTGAATTCGTGTTAATGTTGTTGTTATTAAAATCGATCAAATTTAAGCAATTCAGTTTTAAAAACGCCAAGTTTAAAGTAAGTGTTTATTTTTGCTTTATGGAGGATTTAGCATTTTAGTGCTGATGATAAATAACGATAAATAATTAATAAATACTCTTTTATTTACTCAATTATATATATAGACCATTGATGGTTCATTTAAAAGTGGAAAACGCACAGAGTGTACAGGTACTTGGGCAGACTTGTCTAGGAATTAGGAATTCATAAGATAAAAGATAAACAGGGGTGGATATAGCAACTTTTTTTTGTCATAGGGAAAATGTTAAAAGGCCTCTATGAAAATTGTACAAATGCCACACCAGTTAAGAACCACATACCTACATACCTATCTTTTTTTCCTTGTGGCATCACGACATGGGGACTGAACTGTTTACACATTGCTTAGAAATATTCAATCTGAAAAACGGTGTATTACCTCCAATGAGCCTTATAAGTACGATTTTCCTTATTGTGGCTAGTACGCGTATGTTGAAATTAATACTCAGTGGAGACACCATATACCTACTTAGGAACCTAATTGTATTATATTTCACTCAGACATTCTTTTCTTACGTATTTAGAAAGAAAACTATATTTATAATTTATCATGTTATCATGGTAAGAAAAATAATATTAATAAAAGAAGTTTCAAGTTGTCAAATAAGGTACCTTTAACAGATAACTTTTTTTTGAAATTAAATTCATAAAAAATAGTGCTTTTAATTTTTATGCTGGATTTTGGGGTCACAGACAGTTAGGGCCTATAGGAATAATTTCTATGTCCCCATGATCCCATCATAATAATGTGGATCATAGACCTTTGCAATTTGGAGTATATAGATAGTTTAGGGTGGTACATTGTCGGTATTCGTTAGTTTATTCAAAGTTTAATATTTAGACTCGACACTTGAAAACTACTAGATCGTTTTGAATAAAAAGTTACCTATGCAAATACATTCCTTGAAACTTGGAGGGTGCTTATAGTTTATCTTATCAATCCCTTATCGGCCTTATCCTTATATTATAGGTAGCAGAGGCCAGAGGGTAGCTCATATGCTATATGCAGGCACATAGCCAGATTTTTTTCCATGAGGGGGCCAATATTTTTTGGCCGCTCCCTGCTTTTTGTAACTCCTATTACTCCTCTCATTATCACAGAGACTATACAAAAAATACTAATACTATATATTTTTAACAATGTATTGTCTGTTTAAATTTAAGAGGATGCTACACTCACATATTGAGTTGTCTCCGCCTTACACATATAATATATGGAAAAAATTGTATTTCGCGAGAAAGAACAGAGAAGGTTACGGTCATGATTAAGAAATGAAATATTCACCACAAAAAAAGGAGAATACTTACTGTAAAATATCGTTTTTATAGTTTTTGTATAGAAATTTAAAAAAAAGTTATTCAAATTTTAAAAACAAAGAAATAACGGATTTTGAAACAATATATAAATATTTTTTTAAAATTTATTAAAGCTTCAACAACAAAGGTTTTTAGCCCACATTAAATTAATATAAATAAATATACATTAAATCTTTATACAATTATTAACATGATTAGGATAGATTACAATTTATGGCTAATGTTTATATTATGGAAAAATGAATTGATTGCGTCCAAATTGTCCTCGTTGAGTGCTTGGTGGAGTGTCTTGCGGGCGTTCGTGTATTTGGCGCAATTTATGATAATATATTCTATTGTTAATATTTCATTGCAAGGATCTCAAACAATATTTTATTTTATAAATTTTAATATAAGTGAAATCAAAAAAAAAAATTAAAAAAGATGTTTCTCAGATATGTATTCAATTGTATTGTACATTAATTTGGAGTCTTAACTATCACTACAGTCCGAGTGGTTCTGTTTCGAGCAAAACAGTTTTTGATAGGTATGTTGTACATAGTACATATTAGTACATGTACAACACCTATAATATACCTACATCCGGAATTCAGGACAATAACTCCATAATATATTAATATTAATATATGAAAGTAAAATTTAGGGAGACAGGTTTTTTTAGCTCTTGAAAAAAGTATTTATAGTTTTGTTAATTTATGTGGTTACCACTTACCACCATTGGTTACATAACTATTATAATAATAATTAGTAGATATTAGGTAGGTATATAATAAATATATTTATAAAAAAACAAATCTTTAGCACGAGCAACTCCGGGCGGGACAGCTAGTATTATATAATTAATAAAATATTATATATTTTATATAACATTATCAGTTCTGCGGATACAATAATATTATCATATTATTATTTATTATAGTCCATATACAAATGTATGACAAAATAATTCATTGCTATTTTTTTTGTGCAATACACTTAACGATCAAAGGATATATTACCTATGTATTTTTTAGTTCTTACTGTTCTTACTAACTTACAGTAGGTGATAACATTTGAGCTCTAGTCTAGGGATTATTGCAGTAATTTCTCCTGCAGAAATATGAATGTATAGTTTCCTTACGTCTGAAATTATACCTATTATATCACCTATTTATTGGCTATAATTATCTAATAATATATATTCACCTATTTATTGGCTATAGTTATCTAATAATAATTATTGCCATTAGTGAAATTAATCATTATGATTTATTATAAAATAATATTCATTTGACCATGTGTAGGTATGCGCTGATTAATTGGGCATTTTCATTGTTGGAGCGTATTAGGTAATAAGTAATAATGTAAAATGTATAGATAAATATAACTCATACGTATAAAAGTACCTATACAACTATTAAAACTGTCAAAAATGTTGTGGGGGAGGGGAGAAGCCTACCTAAATCTAAGTTTGACTTATCTTAGACTAGTAAATACTAAATAGTAATCTATACTATACCTAGGTATATTATTTAATATTTTATGATGTAGGTACGCCACCACGCCCTTATCTATAGTAATGTGAAAGCTTAATATTTCCTGTTCAAATGAGTAATTATTTTTTCTAGAAAATTTTGGTGGTTTGGAGGTTTCCGCACAAGGGGCCAAAGCTGGGTGCAACTTTGATTTATTATAAATGGTACCCGAAGGCCGTTCAGATATTCATTAAGACTTCTCGGATATCAATTAAAAGCAAAATGACTTTGTTTCAGTAAAGCATATATCTAGGTGCCTACCTAAAAATATCTAGGTACCTAAATTATATAAGGTAGGAGACTTCAGGAGCCGCAGAGTGCAAAGTGCAGAGTACAAAAGTCCATGTATACATGTACTATAATATACCTTTATGGCTACATGGGCATAACGCTATATATATATAATAGATGAAGGAGATCAACTGCTCGCCTGAACGAATAACATAGTATTAAAAAAATTTTAATGCTATAGTTTTATATAATTTGTGCCAATTACCTACATCATTATAATGCACCCAATGTTAGTAGTTATGCCTTACAGTATAATAGTTAGGCACCAACTAGATACCTCCTGGATCCTATTTATATAATGATGTATTATATATACGAAAATACGAAATACAACATTATGTACCTACTCATATAGGCATAATAATTAATATGTCTATGATTCTAATACACATTATATGTGCACATTTTTAATTTTAAGTTATAACGAATAATGAATAAAATTAAATAAAATAAAATATTGAAACTTTTTGTTTGCTATTTTTTTTTTCAAAAATCATGTCAACTCACGAAATGTGATAACGATATGAATTTGGCGGTTTTCAACTTTCGTTTTCGTATCAATATTTAAGTTGATAAAATAAAACAGTAAAATACTACCTGTACCTAACTGGAATTTTATTCTGTGCTGACTGCTGGAATCTAAATAGGTGAATCATTTTTGATAGTTGTTAATTGTTATTACTTATTATTGTAATAGTTGTCAATTTTGTTATTAATTAAAAAATTAAAATTCACCCACCTACTTAAACAGCTAAACCAAACCTTTTGGAGTATTATTTTTGCCAGTTCGTGTGCGTATTAATATTGACTGTGAAATAAATAGTATTTTTTTACATATTTCTACCTGCCTATTATTTAAAATCGTGTGCGATTGCCAATGGTTCATGATTGAGTGAGTTTGACACCTAATATTTACGATTTTGAAGAACGAAACTTTGAGTGCCGAATTGAGTATTATTCAAAATGTCCATCGATAACACAAATTTAGAAGAGATGGTTGAGAAAACACTGGAGTCCACTGGTGTTTTGTCTAAAATGAGAGTTAGTAGATGATATTTATCAACCAATTCTGTATTATAACATTTTTGTTTTTTGTAATAGGCCGAACTTCGAGCAAATGTTTTTCATGTTCTTGAAAAAGGTTCATCATTTCAGGTATAAATTGAATACTTATAATAATAAGTCAAGTAACAGAAAATACATGACATTCAATGTTACCACAATTTGCATGCTGCATTTAGTGTTATAGCATAGTCTAAGAGAGCCTCCGTATTATAGTTCTTATACCAATGCTTTCTGGTCTGAGCTATAAACTTATTAGGTACTTAGTATTAGTGTTCAATATAAAAATCTTGGCCCGTCTATCATTTGTGTTTAATTTTTTAAATTTCAATAATATTAAAGTATGATAACACTACTGGATTATTCATATTATAGAGACTAAAGGTCTAATAAACTTTTTTAGGCTTTCTGAATAATGAATATGTCAGCCATACGTTTATTACAATTTCTCTCATTGTTTTAAGCCTGTAAATTAATAATATGTACAGTTAATTATTAATGATTGTTTATTTTTTACTTCCAGAATAAACTGTATACAGACAAAATTAAAGACTTTGTTTCTAATAATAATGGATTATTGTTGTTATCTTTAGTTAAAGATTTGTTTGAGTATTTAGAACTAACGTTTACATCATCTGTATTTGATTCTGAAACTGGCGCTGCACATCAATATGAATACAAAGATAAAGATGATATTTTTGAAGAACTTTCACTCTCAAAGGGTAATATTTATTATACTAGCTAAGTAACTTTTTCACTATTCAAGGACGGCCAACTGGCAGTCTTTATTATGCTAAATTAAGTATACGTTATTTCAAAAAAACGAAATTAAATTTGAATTGTTAATTTGTTAGAATCGGAATAAATTGCACAAAATATCAAAATAGATGAAAAATACACAAATAAGGTCTCTGCATTTGTTCTACTATGATATGGATTTTAAGTTTATTTTGCTATCATTTTAATAATATTCATAATATGTTATTTAGAGTATAAGCTTATATTTAGCTTATAAGTATGTTATTTTGTGATTAGTCTTTTTTTCGTAACTTCATAGTCAATTTTAATTTTTTTTTTGTGTGTGTCAATATACATAGTAGATGCTGTTTTATAATTATTTTGATTATATTTTAATATGCTTTAATGTCTTGAAAAACTTATAATTTAGTATATTTATATACAATATAGATTATATTAGGTTAGTTAATTTATTTTGAATAATTATTTAGGTTTAAAAAAGTTTTGATCTTGTCATTAGCATTTAAAAATTGAATCATTAATTTATCAATCAATTTAATAGATTTATTAAATATTTATTTTCTATAATTTATTTTAGATGATAAAAGACCTTTATTGTTACAAATTCTTGAAACTCACCAGTCACAATATAAATCAACAGATGATGTCATTGAGGTTTGTTATAAAAAAAAAGTTTTTTTTTATTTTTAATTAAAATATTTTATGTAGCATAATACAACACAGCATAATGGTGAAAAACACGAGGGATCTTCACTAGCTCAAATATTAAAAAATAATGCAGAAACAATAAAACCAACACTTGATAATAATAAATCACCAAGCGTTTCGCCAGTTAAAACAAAATTATTTGAAGAAAATACACATTATGACAGTCATGCACATTCAGGTTCATTGTCATCATCAAATCTTAATTTATCAGATAATATACAGTTTAAAGATATCGAAAGCTCTGGTAAGTGAATTATTTATAGCTATTTTTAAAAGGGTATTTTTTTTGTTAATTTAAAGCCTGGCAACTATGACCATTAGCTGTTAGTATTGGGGTTCAGTTGGTTTGGAATACGTATTTGTAGGCTTGACAAGGATTTTGTTGCTAAAATCCTTGGTGGTCACCCATCTAGTTAATCAGAGCAACATTTCCTTTTGTAGAGGGTCGTCCCTAACAACAATTCAATCAGGGGAGGGGGTAGCCTAATCAATTTGTTTTCTCACATACATTAATAAAAATATAACAATTGATCATACTTTTCAACATCCACGATGCATTTACCTAAATTAAAAATATTTTGTCAAAATTCTTTCTTTAGACATTCATAAAAAATTAGATAGGTATATTAAAAAGGCTATAACCTATAAACCAAGCTTCCCAAATTTGTACAAACACTTGTAAAAGCATATTATATGTACCATACTTATAGAAATACGTATATTTAAATATACTGTAGTTTTTATATTTTAAAGTTGAACATTCATTGTACAGACATTTAAGTACATTCTTAATAAACCCTTACCCTGAAATATTTATTTTTATTAAGTTAATTTATAATTTATATATTAACTTTGAAATATATTTATGTTTTTACAGAGAGTCTTAATAGCTTAAGCATAGAACAATTATCACCAATTAAAAAACCACCTACTATTGATCAAAATGAAAACTCAGATGAAGATATTAAGTCTGATTTAAAAAGTATTAAAAATGAATCTAGTTTGGAAGATATTGAAACTGATGAAAATGTTTCATGTGGAAATGACAGCCTACTGAGCACTGATTTATCTGTAAGTTAAATAAATTGTATAGTTTTAACTTTTAACAGATTTATAAGTTTTTACATTCAGTTATTGAGCTTATGCAGTCCCATGAGAGTAAAAAATGTGGACGATTCATTCAATACAGTCTTCAAAGAAAAAAGCTGTTTTTGCATATTTGAGAATATTTCATGTGTTAGGGAACAATTAGATAGATACCAGCCATATTTTTTTTGTATAACTTATTACTTAGTTAAAAAAAAACATGCAGTGATATTATGTTGCTGTATTGTATACATGTATTAGTGTACCTAACATATAATACTGATAATAATTTGTTGACCAAAAGCCCAAATAGACTTAATAAAAAAAAAAAATCCATTATTTTTTAACATCTTTTAAAACCATGGATAGGACCTTTCAACATTGCAAGACACTATTTTTATTGTTTCTATTATTATTATACTGCAATTATTGCATTATATAAGTTACTAAGTTAACCTTACTATTGTAAAAAAACTATACAAAAATTGCATACTTTTCTAATTTTTAAGAGAATATAAATCTAGACTTCAGTAGTAACACTAATAACTTAAATTGGGATTGGTAATCAATAAAAAACAATTGAAATATAATTTTCAGTTTAAAATTTTATGATAACTGAAAACATACAACACTATACTCTGTTCAGCGAGAGAGTGCAATGTTTTTTTCTGTGCACCCCATCATAGGGAAACTGGTTTTGATAGTAGGGTGATGTGAGAGATGCACAGAATTGGCCCGTTGTTTTGCTGGACAAAGTTTAAATTAGAAGATTATATGAAAACTGTAAAAAAATCATTTTCTAATAAGTATTTAACAATATATTTTTTTGTTCCAGACTCAAAATGGCAGCCCAGAAAAGATAAGAACACATAACATACATCTTTGAATACTTCTTTGCAAAATAACAAGATTTTAGACTTCTGATGTTTATTTTTTACTTTTATACAATCAAATTATTTGTAGTATTTAAAAATTAATTACAAATGTAAATAAACAATTATCAGTACGAATGACAGAAAACTAAAGCTAGAAGTAACACTCATTTTATACATTGTTGTATTGGTTTAATGCATATTTTGGGATTCAGCCATTAGTCGTTCACCAAAGGACTTTGAAACTAAACTCACTGTTTCCATATAACGGTCCATACACATTGAAACACATTTCTAAAAAAAAAAAATTGTAATTAAAAATTGCACCATATTTTAATATAATATATTATTATATATTATATGATATTTACTTGTTCAGTACTATCTAGTGAAGGTCCTGGCTTTATAATACACTTGTTGAAACACAATCGACTCATTTTCTGAAATTTTAAAATTAAATTTTTATTATTTTACCCACGTATGTGTTTTTAAATGTCTTACAAGATTTTATATTGTATTTATTTAATTGAGACTGTACAAGGTATAAAAAATATTATAGTGCATATTTAAAATCATAAGTTATGCAGTAGAAATTATTATGACTAAGGATGGAAGTTGTAACAGTAAGCAGTAGCATATTCTTCTATTTACTTTCTATTTACAGATGATCAAGTTATGAAACTTTTTGAAATTATTTAAGTATTTGAACAACATGATAATCAGGATGAGAGGTTTTTTGTACACTGCATTGAAAACATAAACATTTATTTCGAATTTTTAAGAGGCATACAAACTTATTAGATAAGGTATTTTGTCATACCAGACTTGCATATTTGAGCTTAGAGTGTACTAGAATAAAGTAAAACAACTTTCAACCATATTCATCGTGGAAATGTTTACAAGTAAAGAAATTAGTAACTAAATTTAATAAAACACAATTTAGTTAGTCTGATTTGTAGTATCGTGAACATGAAGATGAAAAGAACATTTTGAACTAATTATGATACCTACATTATTCACTTCATTTAATCTAGTTATGGTAGGTTATATTTTATACTAACAAATAACATATCACATATTTAAAAATCAGTTAGAAAACTATATTAATTTTATATGTATTATGTATATTAATTATCAAATAGGAAATGACAATAATTATTAGGTACACAGTTGCCTTATGACCTATATAATTTATCATTGGTCATTTGTTAAAATTATGCACAATATAGTGATGTGGAAATTGAATTGTTCTTTTGAATTTTTTTTCTAATTTGTTAAGAAAAATGTCTTATTTGTCGTATAGGTCTTAAAAGCATTTGGACATTATAAGAAGTAATAACTAATGGGTAACTGATAAAGATTTACATAATAAACTTTCCAGTTATATCCTATATACAAAATCTCTCAATCAACTTTTTGACCCACTAAATCAAACAAAAAGTGAACAATATTTTAAACTAAGAGACCATCCTACTCCCCGTCCGCTCAAGAGTAGAAGTCCCCATGATGCTTTCACTTAAAAAGTAATTTTTAAAAATATATTATAACAACAATAAGTTAGATAACTTCACCAAAAAAGTGTTTAAAAAAAAAATCATAACATAAGTTTTGCTGGAAGCTTCAAGTTAAGGTCATAAAATATTGTTGGTCATTACAATAGGTGTAAAAACATTAACCTAGTTTACACAAATTTGATACATAGGTTTCAGATTAAATAATAGTTGTTAAATGATTACCGGACAGTTTGTTTCATAATCAAATCATGCATAATAATATTAATGTAGTAGGTACCTATGCTTAAAGTAAATTTAAGAGTAAATTGTTTTCATTAATTATTCTTTTATCATTAAATCGTATACAATACTAAACCGTAAGACACTATTTACCATCAATAATAGTTCTATATTTTCTAACGCCACTTGATGTTTTAATTTTTCCACGAGTTCATCTTGCGACATCTTAGGGCCATCCATGATAATATTTTATTTTAGGTGGCTCAAAATAACGATGAAATGATTTGATTTTTAGCGGATTTAAAATAACCAACTAAAACGCGATATTTGAATTTTAGTACTGCAGTGTATTCAGGTTGTACGGAAACTGTTCTAGAATTAAGAAAGGGTTAAAAGCGCGATGCGATAATAAAAAATTATATTTAATATAGAAATAAATAAGATAGGCGTGCAATATTACTACCTATATCAGTAGTATTCAGTAGTTCTGAGAATCAGAGAAGAGAAGAAAAATTTGATAAAGCGACATAACCTCAATTATTGATGTCAAAGACGTTCCATGTACCGGCAAACCGCGGCTCAGATTCCGAACTTCATCGGCCGGTGTTCAGGACTTTACTTTTTTTTACGTTTTGACGTTTTCCATATTATATTATTATCCAATTTTCCACTCATAACGACGAACAAGTCAACTTCGTTCCATCATCTCATCGGTTGTAAGTCTTGTAATGTTGTCGGAATCAAAAACATACGTCAAACAATAACCATTGCGAGCTCAGAATGACAAACGGTGTCTGCGTCTAAATACGTTTCTACACCTACGTCTAACAAAGTTAATAGGTAATCACAGAGTGTAAAGTTGTTAATAATTTCAGGTAGACAACTAATATTAATACCAGGAACAATTCCAAAAAGGTTAAGTTGTGAGAAATACACTACGAAAATACGAAATGCTGTTCAACACGGACACTATTTGGTTGGTTTTTGAGTCGATGTATTTACTCCAGCAGTGTTATGGTGTAGCCATGTAGGTATTAAGGTATAGGTACTCCTAATTTTAAAATTGCAGCCACAAATCGCCTTACTACCTGCGTCCTGTCACTTAAACAGAGAACTGAGAAACTGTCAGTGGGGCATAATATATTTTCAACATAAAACTGTGCAGACCAAAATATATCTTTTTTGATTCTGTATTAGTACAATATTAGTTTTAGTTTTAAGTATTAATTTAATAGGTAGGTGGTGTATCTAGGCCCGGATTGAACGGGCGAGCTACCTAGAAAAGCTCGGCTGGCCGCTTAAAAATAATGTATTGTGTTAAAATATATGTACATACTTGCATCTAATTATATATACATAAGTATCTAAAAGCCAATAAAATTTAAAAATTATATTTTTAATAATATAGGTAAGTACGAGTATACTAAGTAACTTAATTTAATGTATTGGATAATTTGTAAATTTTCTTTAGAGAAACAATAATGAATTAAAGCACACCAGTTAAAAGAGTGATCATTAAAAATGTTTTGTCAAAAGGGCTGATACTTCGCTGAGGGCCGGCAGAAATTTAAAATTCTGGTGCCGGAAAAGTTTCAATCCGGCGCTGCGTGTAACTATCTACTTAAGAGGACGCCACACCCGCATGCGTTGTCTCCGTCTTACAAACGAGTAACATACCAAATTTACGCTCAGCAGTTCAAGTTTTATGCCGTTAGCTTAAAAATTAGAGTGAATTAACCTATTATGAAACTTGATGGTAAGAACTTTATCCGTGTTTTGTTGGAAGTTTTTTTTACGATACTTCAGTTTTTAAGCGAGGTATGCTTGTATAATAAATGTAAATTAAAAATGCTCATAACTCACTTAAAAACTGAATTATTGTAAAAAAACTTCCAACAAAACACAGATAAAGTTCTCACCATCAAGTTTCATAATAGGTTAATTCACTCTAATTTCTAAGCTAACGGCATACAACTTGAACTGCTGAGCGTAAATTTGGTATGTTACTCGTTTGTAAGACGGAGACAACGCATGCGGGTGTGGCGTCCTCTTAAGGGGATTCGATACCGTCATTTTCTGTTTTTATCTAATACACGCGTGACGTAGTAATTTAGACGTGTTTTTTGCCAAACATACTAATTGATCTAACGAAGCGATAATAAATCTATCAACAATGTTGATAATATCAATATATGATATTATCCCCCAAATTCCTAAAAATGTCATATTAAAAAAGAGCATTTAAAAATTTTTGTATTTCAATTTTCGGAGAAGTTAAAATCAAAAAATCATAAATGTGGGAAAGTCGATTTCAAATAAACTTGACAAAAAATTTAAATCTGTTTTTAGAATTCTTATCGCTTCATTAGATCAATTGGTATATTTGGCAAAAAACACGTCTAAATTACTATGTCACGCTTGTGTTAGACAAAAATAGAAAATGACGGTATCGAATCCCTTTAAATATCTATTTAAATAGGTACCTAGGCAAAACTATTTTTATGACTCATTAAATATTGTAATCATTCATTTATTACAGAGGTATAAAATAATTTTTTTTATATGTAGGCAATACCTACCTAGTCTTATAAACTTGTTTTATTTTTACTGCTTTTATCATTATTCCTAGACATTTCTAATAATTATTATCGTATTTAATGCAATATAGGCACTGCTGAAGAAAAATCAAGTGTAAATCTTATGATATTTTATTACCAACAAAATGAATAATTTTAACCTAATTGAAAATAAATGTAAATGAATAAAGTTTTTATTGGAACACAAAAAACAGTAGGAATTTTACAAGTTATACAACCAAATATAAATAGTAGGTAGTGCCAATATCACACAAGCACGGATTCAGGTGGGCAAGGAAGCTATAGGTTCTTAGGTATCCCATGTCGTCTAAGCTAAGCAACCAATAAAATCAGCGGATTGGATACAATGTGCCATCGCTTGTACGGTAGTTTTTGATATAGCTATTAGCTATGCACCTGACTTCGACCCGGGAAAAAATGATCAATCAATACAAAATACTGCTTTATATTGACGTATCTTGGTTTTGGTGTACCTCAGATAAGATTTTATAGCTCTTGGTATATTTCCCAATGTGGTTCAAACTAATCTTTAAACTTTCCTGATAACTCTAAGAATAATCTCTGAAATTTTCGTTAAAATCGGTGGAGTGGTTTTTGAGTCTATAGGCAAAAAAACATAATATACTTCATCTTTTATAAATAATTTCTCATAGTTATATTCTTTTAAGACTGTTTGTTTATTCGTGGCCATAAGTGCTACAATTTGATGCTTTTACCTCATCTACCTAAGTAACTAAGGGCAACCATTTTCTAAATGAGTCTCAAAAATTTAAAATCTTTGTTTGTGCATCTCTTTAACGTGCAATTTTCAAGCGAATCCTTTCTTATTGCTCATCTAAAATCATTAGAGGAACCATACTAGATATTCCAAATTTCAAGTTCTTAAGTTTTTTAGTTTGTGAGATGTAGCCGTGATAGTGAATGTTTGAGTCAGTGAGTGGTATTTGGCTTTTATGTAATATATAAATAAATAAATTAGTCTTTCTTTCTTTATTTCTCTTTATTTTATAGTCCTTTGGCTCAAAAACTATTAAATCGTTTTCAATAAATTTTAAACCGATATATATATCCTGTGAAATGGGGGGGGGGGGGTAGTTTCGCTTTTCAACTCATACAGGTATGAGGTGGCTCACGCCTCACTTATGAATTTTGTTTCAAATACTTTTTTCTTTATTATTGTATATAAATGCTATTGGTCACTAATGTGTGCTATGGTCCGGCGTCCGGCGTCTGGTATCGTAAGCTTTCGGTTGAGTGATCACCCTGGTTCTTTGCGGTGAATCCTTGCCCTACATATAAATATGAGTTCCAATCATAACCCCACCTCCCCACATAATACCTAATGGCGCTGTGCTGAGTACCAGTTGTTTAAGGGTGGCTTGGCTTACCCACCATTAATAATTTTTAAATCATCTCGTCATATTCGTTTATTTTTGCTTGCAATTGGTTACACGTAAATAAAAAAATTAAAGGTACTATATCCACCCCAAGTATATTTCCTATCTAGGTTTTATTTATCACCGGGTAATACAGCTTTGCTGATATATGTTATCGTTGTTTCATAGTCAATTTGAACTCCTAAACTACTGCAAAAAACAATTTAAGACGATTTAAGAATCGGTTAGTTTTCTTTAGTATATAGATAGTTATAAGGTATATTGCAGATTTATCAAAACTTGATTTTTATTTATTATCTTGGATACAAATATTATAGGTGTACACTGTACCTATATAATTTTCTCAAAAAAAAAAATATATAATATATATATACGTAATTTATGCCACATCCAAAAATTAATTTTGGTAATATGAGCCACTTTTTAAGATTGTAGTTTGTGCCACTTAAAACTAAATAAAAGGGCGTTATGTAATTTGCGCCATTATTCACCTTATTAAAATTAAAGTTTGTGCCACTTTAAAATTACTAAACAATTTTTTTTTATCAGACTAACATATTTTATTTTTAATCAATGATCAATCAAGTTAATTTCAATAGTTACATTTTTAGAAAATTATTTATATGAACAATGAACATAAAGTAAAATAAATAAATGTATATAAATACCTATACGTATATACTTTATGTATATTAAATAAGTACAATTTCGATTACTAATAAAGTATATAAAAATAAGTCATATTATGATAAAAAAATAATAATAGTAAATTCAAACAATTGAAAGTGTGGCCCAGATTACATATTCCATTTCGTTTTCTGTTGTGGCACAAATCACTAAAATTAATTCTTAGATGTGGCGAAAAATGTATGTTACATTTTTATATTTTGGAGCGAAGTACTTACTCACTTAAATGTACCTGTTGGTGTTACAAATTACAAGTAATTTATTGGCTCAAAATACCATCTACTAATATTATTTTACCTATACATACTTCAAAGTTAAAAGTTAAAATAATAAATCATTAAATATTGAATTGAATTATTTTAACTACAAATTTTTATAATGTTCAGCTTATACAGTTATACAGAAATGGAAACTGATTTAAATACGGCATTGGCCGTTAATTTTATACAAAACAAACCTGTTGGAATGGATATAGTGGATTATGTTACCAGCGTTCAGTCAAAAATCATGGAGAAGGAGACTGAATTGTTTTTTCAAGTACGTAAGTTTGGTGGTTATTTGTTATAAAATGGCTAATGCTTGAGGTATAGGTAATCCATTTACTACAATTGTATAATATGAACATAGCGAGGAATGTATTGGTTTTACATTGATGTATTTCTTTTTTATAAAATTCTTTTTAACAAAATTGTTATCCCGAAATTATTTTCTGTCGTGCAGTTTTGAAGCAAAATAAATTATTTAATCTTCAACATTTAGGGGTGGCTAACTTAGTTGGTATTAAAGTGTCTGCCAGTGGCGTACACAGCTATTTTCAATGGGGGGGGGGGGCTTACAT